TGAAGACCTTATCCTACACTTTCAATCCGAAATCGCCCGTTATAGCGATCAAGTCAATTTACCTGCAGGTAAACGTTTGGACATTTTTGTGATCCATCAGGTACTGTTGATTGGAGCCTGAACTATGATTAACTACCAACCTATTATCAAATTGCATTGCTTTGTCAAATTAACATTTAGTATACTTTGTCGGTGACTTCATTCAAGAAAGTCAATGAGACATGATATTCGTACTGAAGAGCCCTAATGACTGGTCGATATGACAATTGGTTTTGGGTAACGATACAAAACGTTCACCGATGACTTAAAAGAACTAACTAATAATGGTTATGTTTCTTTATATAAATGCCACCCATTCGGCCACCGAGCAGCCGATCACGCCGTTTCTTAATTTGATAATACACGATTTAACACACCCCATCTTTGCGAACCTGTTGAGGGCAACGGACCTCACTTATCTCAGCACTAGTCTCCGGGGTTATGACTGATTCCGAAAATTCCACAATCTGACAATTTATTGTACGACAGAGAAGTTATCTGCCTGGTGACCGGGTGGAGAGTATGCTTGAGTTCTACCTGTGAGGTCCAGGGTTCCATCCCTAGCTGGATCGATGGAATCCCACTGCTGGTAAGATCCAACCATATCGAAGCAGATGTCCAGTGGATTTCAGTTTTTCAGTTCGCGCCTCATTTACATGATCAATTCATCATTTAAACAAATCGAATCCCCAATAACCTCTAGGAAGGCCAATTTATAGTTTACTTCTATTTCCAACGTGAACTGAATCAATTCTTGAATTATATTGTATATTTGGAGCAATCCCGTGGTGTTCCTATATTTCTGTGTTTGAACGAATATGTCTTCCTCGTTACGGATGTAAAAACGCAATTACTCTAATTTCTTACTTCAAAGTTTTATGTATATGTTATATGTATATGTCTGCTTACAGGAGGCCTAATCGAGAACCCATCGCCACGGTAAAATTTTCCATCAAATAGAAATGGAACAGTCCGCTGTTATGGTGATTTGACCATAGATCGAATTCATCTTGGTTTACCCGTAAATACGTGAAATGGTTGACCCAGATGGCTTAATTACATCGAACGCTGATTGGTCTATAAAGCTTTGGTCCCTTAAAGATTTAAGACTATTAGCGAATTGTTTTTCTGAATGTGCCGTCACCCCTTCGTCTTCAGGCCCAATGCCAAATTTCTTCTCATCGGACAGTAGCTTGGACAGCTGCTTGATACAATCGCATCTACTCATCTGAGCGACTCCGGATCCTTTATATTGTCTGCTTTTTATAATATCTTTACATTGTTGGATCTCTTCAGTTGCCTCCAGATGTCTTCTAGTCAATGGCCCTCGGATATTGGCGATAGGCATTCTCGTTTTCGCTGCAGAACTACTGACACAAAGTTGCTGTGGTTCAAGCTCTCCACTTAACCTGGCCCCAAATTGATTATCAACATCACCATCTCCACCAACACTCAAATCACAATCAGTTTTACCCGGTCACAGACATATGGTTCTTACTCCATCTGTCTCTTGTCCCCATCCCGAACGACCGTTCGAAAATCTATCCACACTAATAACAAAGCCTCATATGATCGGTACAGGGACGATTATGAATCATTCGGAAACCATTGTTCGCCGTTATAATCTGAATACTTGATAAAGAAGTTGAATCGAACTTCGACCAGTTGAAATTTTTCTGAGCACAGGCAAAATTATGAAAGCAAAGCGGTGGTTTGGAGATTTGAATCCGCAACCCATGTATGACTACTATAGGGACCTCAACCGCCCTAATACACCCATCCAATTGCGTTCAAGGGATAGTCAAACCACGGTCACAGGGGTGAAACAAGTTGTCTGATCAGAATAAGTCTATCTAGCAAATACGTACAGTGATTTAGGTATCACCAGTGTGAGTCACAGTGACTGTTGCCAGATGATTCTCGTGAATTACTTCAAAATGTTTTTACTTGGTGTCTTGATCCGTCTTTTAGTAAGGAAATATAACGTTATGGTAACAAGTGATGTAAAAACCTTAAACGGAAGGAGAACGTGTTGAGAATAACGTGAGGTCATACACATGGAGAACATATATAAGAGAGTCTATGTTATGCAGTAATATATTTTACAATAAGCAAAGTTAAAGCAGCGAGGTTTCGAACAAAAACCGGTTACCGCGGGTAACCGAAACGTCGGCGAATATAATTCTCTACCAACATCTCTGTGTTATCTGCACCATAACATTCACAATAAAACAACACATGGTGCATCGATGTTTCGATACACTCCTAACATCATTTGGTTCCGATGTGTTAAAAAAGTAATAACTGATTGTCAGGTTTTTTTTAGTTGGGACGCATTCCCGCATTCCAGACTTCGATCAGCAAAGTAAATCAGCCCATACTTATACAGCGACTTTATCAGCTACTTGCTAACAACATTTGATGATAGATGTTTGAAAACAGAAACAGCCACTGGAAAAGCACATGATTCATATACCGCCGCAACATTTTCCCGGGCGGGAGATACCTCGGGAAGCGGGTGGTGCAGTCAAGTGCAAAAGTGGTTTACGGTCGGCAAATATTGTCCCGGAACGTTTGAAATGAAAATGTTAATTATGTAACATTACATCCGTGATGGAGAAGCAATACTGGTATTCTATACCGATATCATTCTTACAATCCTGGAAATTGCCTTAGTACTAGTGGTGCCCCGTTGTTAACGTCATCAAACTATTATCCCGGAGGACATGTATTCTAATCCCACCACCATAACCATCACCACCGCCTGACTCTCCTCATCTGCGTGTTGTATGGCAGCCCCCGCACTGGCCGCTTCCCCAGTAGTGAAAATAAAATCACTGTATCATAAAAAGGAGCAAAAATAAAAGAAATCTTTCTTTGATAGACAAGACTTTTGAGCTTAATATTATTAAGCACCTATCCTCTAATCTTGAGTTTTGTGATTCCAATCAGTTGTTCCTTGTTGTATGCGTCGCTGTACTTAAGATGCGGTTGCTTGTCTTATACATGCTGCTTTATCCGCTATAAACCAAAAACGCAAAATTGTTCATGTTTGTTTCTTGGACTACAGAAACGTGTTTAACTCTGTTGACAGAAACATCCTATTGTTATTGTTACGGCTACATAATTTCCCGTCATGTACGACTATTTTACCGATCGACGCCAGTTCACTTGTCTCAATGGTATTAGGTCTTTCACTGTTACTGTAAACCAGGGTGTAATGCAGGGTGCAATTTTATCCTCTTTTCTAGTCTCTCTTTATATCCAAACTTGCCATCCACCCCAAACGTTTTCACTTTTGAATATNGTAATAATAAAATGAAATGAAACAATGAAATAACCACTTCCAATCAGCCATAAGTTCCATTTCTGAATGGTCCGATGGTGTTAAACGCCAACAAATGCATTGAAGTTTTCTTTTCCATTAACCGTAGGCCATCAACACTTTCCGGATCATTTGTTCCCAATATCCTAACCAATAATTAAAAAGTTGAAAGGTCACAACACTTCAAATATTTTCGATGTTTCGAGTCTGCTGACCTCAAATAGTCCTGTCACGTAGAACAAACATTTCTTGAATTCGGAAAGTTGACCTTTTCTATTTCACGCCTTCGGCATCTGAGAGTGCCGTTGTACATCATTTCCAAATTTATTTTCTTATGCGTTTTATACCATTGGACTTACTGCTCTCCAGTTATCTTTCCCTATCTACTGCCTAAGGATTTTATATTAATTAGACGCTCTCTGAAAAGCATCTTCAGATATGAAGCTGTATCTTATGAGGAGCTGGTTGATTCCATTGTCAACGAACACCTTAAGGCATGTGACCGTCTGTGTGACTCTATCTTGTCCGATAAGTCACACCCGATACACACAGCCCTATCTCAGCTCAGGTGTAATAGTGCGTATGCCAAAGTAAAAGCAATAACGTTCTTTTCACTGAAAATTCTGTCCACATCGAATGGATAAATAACACTCTTTGCTTGATTTGACTTGACTTGAAAGAATCACTTATTCCTTTCGCTGTCTGGCTCGATTCTGTTGAAAGAAACAATTCTACCTTGATCTTAGACTTTTATGGTGAGCGCTCGCTAACTACCAATAACAATGTTCCAATTTGATACTAAGTTTCAGCTAAGATATAGCTGAATATTGTCACTGAGACTACGAGGGGTCGGCACTTAGAATGCAGTTCGCCATAGAGTCGTTTCAAGTCTTTCAGGACAAGACATTTAGTAAAATGCGACACAATGCAGCTCGAAACGTGCCATTCATGTGTGATAGGAATTCTTGACGAAGTTGTACTCCACTTAGTCTCTCTGTACGAAATGGTAAACCCAACCGTATCACTCTCACTGCGAATCCTTTTAAATTCAAAAAAACGACAAAATATTTTCCTACGTTTGTTCCATTTTTTTAGTATGATTATGAATTTCCGGAATGTTATGGTAGCTGGTGGCTTTTGTATTAATTATTATTCCGGGTAGTCTATCAGCCCGACAGCACAACATTAATCTTTAAACTCTACATTGACAGGTCTGAGTGACAAGTTGTTCTATTGTATTTAACTAAATATGCTAATGCGTGATTGTTTCATTTTAAACGCCACATTAATGCTTGGAATCCAATCATTTTGTTTCCGCAAACATAAGCAGTTATTAAATTTTCAATTTCTAGAGAAGACTATAAAGCCTGTCTCCTTTTTTCTTCTACTAATGTTCCCATAGGATCCTTTATTGTCGTTCATTGGCAGTGGTGTTGTATCGGCCGCGCCGGGGATTCCATTGAATTTTACGCTCTGTATTAATACAACAGCAGGAAGTCAGCTTCCGAAAGGATTTCTTGAATTCGCTTGCGACGGGCAAAATGAAGCGCGGTGCACATTCGTCAAATGCGTGGCGAATTTTGGATTTAATATGGTCGAGATGCAGAATGATCCATTTCCATCGGTGATCGACTCCACAGTGCCAACGAATCAGTTAAATCGTTTAGCGTTTCAGTTTGGTACTGTGGTGAACACGGGTAGGTGAAAAGTCTGATCGTCAAGTTCACATTCCCCAGCCATTCATGCAAAAATGCAATACTCAGTTGTATCCTTTGGAACATTCTCTTTGCAATCGAAATCTGAAGGAAGAGCGCAAAACTGTCAAATTGTGTAATGCATTTCCGGAGTCGATTTGTTGCATCCCAAACGATGCATATATAAAAAATCAGGAGAAATTTTGACACATAAACATAGTAGATCCAAATTAACGAAGTCTGTTGTTGTAGAATTAATTTTTAAATAATAGAAGGCAATCTTTGCAAACAAACAGACTATGAAGTAAGGCTCACCTCTGAGAACCAGTCTAGCTAGTTAAAGTTAGTACCATAGGGAAACCCCACAACGGTTGAACTTCCCACTGCAAATAATGTCCAAATATGTCCAAATCTCTAGGTGATCAATTTCAAACACAATGGCTATCATTTGTTAACGCAGAAGGTCACCTGATTTCTAATTAATGCGATCCGTTTTGACTTTCGAGTCACATGTTTGTCATGCGAAGCAGTGCTTCTTCAACGGGATAAACAGCCTTTTGTTCGGAAAGAATTCTGAACTTCCTGAAAATAAAATTTCCATGTAACGAAGGATCTTAGGAAAGAGAGTTTAAATTTGCCAGTGCTAACTAATGTGCCGATAGAAAATCGAATGAAACGGATGAATATAATGCCCAAAAAGATAATGAAATATTGAACACATTATTCCGAAAAAGGTAAGCTTAACAAACGTACATGATTCATTGACGATTTTATCGACTGACGGTCAACTTGTGACATATTTGAAGCAGTACGCGTGGAAGAAATCGAACTATTTCGCGGTTTTGGACAAGTTAGGCCCTTTCGAACACCTTTTTCATTGTTTGCCACGGAGGAACTGGAAGACTTTGTTGCTTTTACATCAACCGAATATAAAGTATAATAANGAAAAAGTATGTCATTCGGCTAAGGTATCTTCAGTGAACGTTAATATACCGATTCCTGTTCGTCCTTTTCTTTTTCACCTTACTTCCTTTTAAAGAATGTACACAAATACCATTTTCAAGAAGGAGGAAGCGGTCAATCGAAGGGCTGCAGTTCAACACACAATGGAGAAAGTCAGACGGTGGTGGTGGGATTCGAACACACATCCCGGGGTGATAATTTGGCGAGGTGACCACGGGGACACTACCAACCAATGTATCCATTCTTCCGTTAGGGTTCATATGGTGCATATCACCATCACGTTTACCTGACATTTATACTCCTGATTATATTTTAGTTAAATTTCATTGTTTTGAATGCAACGGAAATGTTTTACATAACAGACAAAGAGCACCGGACAGCTGTTTCGTCCCGTTTGGGACTCGTCAGCAGTGCATACTTTTTGTATCTCTGTCAGGACTGAAACCGCGATCGGTCTGAACAATCGAATAGGCTAATCCACGCTTGCTACCGTAAAATTGATTGAGCCGTTCGCACAAGCTGATGACCGTCGACCGTGCAGCTCAGGGGTGGGGGTTTGCAATCCCGACCCTGATATTCGCGGTTTGAGTTCTGAAAGAGGCAAAAAGTAGGCACTGCTGACGAGTCCCAAA